CATTGAACATCTACATGTGTTCCGGTTATAGCTACCATTTATACTTGGTAGCTCTAGATTTGTAAATCTGCTATGTATATTTTGAACAGATGATGTATTTATTTTGTACCAGCTTTGTAAACTCTAGGTCTTAGAAGCTCATGACTTATACTACTAAATCCTTAGGAGATTGAATAGAAATTCAGTTATTTTTACTCATTTACTCTTATTATTCTCATTTGAGTTGTGTTGAATGCTACTTGGCTTACCTAGCGGATTGGGTTAGGTGCCATCACGACTAGTTGGATTTTAGTATTTCTGTATCATAATTGATTCTATGTTTCAGTTCCGAGGGATTAAGAAACGTCTTTAGTTCATAGAAGGTATCTTCGGAGTGGGTATCTTGAATGTAGTATTTTGGGTGCTTAAGATGGAATACAGTAGCTTATGGGCTTTAGGGCGATGTGGTTTCATGATAGAATCTCTTGTGGTGAGTTTTGGTTAAGGGTCATAGTGTAATGGCAAGGAGAAGTGTTATCTCGAAAGCAATTCGGAAGGCTTAGTATTAGGTTGGATCAGTATGATGATGGTATGATCTGTTCTTTTGGTTCTTGTGATACGGTGAGGCTTTACTAATGTTGTGTGGTAATACACTTGGGTTTGCGACCTACGTGACTTCGTTGAGTTAGATGGATTCAACTTTGATGGTCCGGTCTTGTGCCAATGGGTTTCAAAGAGTTCTCAATGATTCCTAACACGGTTTGAGATGTATATCTTCTATAGGCATATGGAGTTTATTGTGCGTTGTGATTTTTCTCCTAGATGAGATCAGGTGGAAGGTTTCTGGCGGATTGAGTCTATATCTTGCTTGTGGCTCAGAGTTGTTAATGGGATTCTGATGCTTTTACATTATGATATGTTAGAGACGGTGTATCGTGTGGGATTCAGAAGTGCATGTACAAGTTTGTGGTTCTGTATCGAAAGGAAGGTCATGAGTTCTAGGCAGCATAGACAGTTTCAGATATTTAAAAGAATGCTGGAACTATGTGGTATTACCTGAGAAGATTGTACATTTCAGAAAGGTTTATTGTGTTTGGCTTACCAGTGCTTGACCGGCATTATGGTAATCGCTTGGTTGATTGGCTTTTGACGTTAAGATTTTACTATGTAGCATGAAAGAATTAGGGAAATATTTCTCGTGATATGATTGTGTATGAGAGAGGTGTTAGTTATTTGGGTGGTCGAGTCAGGATCAAATATAGAGATTTTAGTATTGTTGTGATTTGGAGACTGGGAGTATCAAAGGTAGGTTATTCCTTGGTTGTGGACTATGAAGATATGGCTAGGTTAGGCAGCTAATAGTATGTATTGTGGTCAGGTTATTGTGGACTTTGGAGGGTTATTTACCTATTTGTGTATGGACGAAGCTAATTTGGGGCCTATTGTTGATTTTGAGCATTATGGCTTGAGGTATTTTATATGGGCCGATGTTTGGATAAGGTCATGTATTACAACAGAGTTATATTGGAATATGATCCTTCATGTTAGATTCGTATGTCTTGGTTCTACTATGGGTAATGGATTCATAGCATTGCGTTTGTGGTGCTACCTGTAGAGCTTGCAAGATGGTTCTCTCATTTGATTCATCTTTCATCATTGGTTACATTCAAATTATTGCTTATTGGTGACCGAATTACACGTCTTGTGGTTATAGATAATATTTCTGTGGCATGGCAGTTGAGCCACTTGTATTTGTTGAGATAAGGTTATTGGACAGGGAACATATTCTATCGGTCTTGATTGCGGTATGTTTGGAAGAATAATGTCATTTGTAAGCTTAGAGTTTGGCAACGGTACATATCGGACGTGATAGCTCCATGACTAGTTGATCTGATAAGTGGTTATAGCTTTCTGCATGTTTCTTCCAAAATTGGTAGTGTACGAGGGGTTAAGACAAGGTTTTATTTGATATGAGGTTTACTACTGGTATCAAGTTTGTTTTGAGCAGCTATTGTAGTCAAAAGTTATTACAATGAACGTCTGAGTTATGTGATAGGTCATGTAATTACATCTTGAGTTAAGATTATAGCTTGATACATGTTGTTCAGATTTATACAGTGTATATGAGAACCAGGTCTTGTAATGTATTTCGAGTATTAAAAATGAGGTTCTAATATTAATGGACCTAGGTTATAGTAAGGATCTTTAGTTAGTGTCACAGTCCCAATTTCCCTCCGTAGGATGTCAGACGAAAGCCTAACAAACATGCGAAATAACTGAATTAATAATTAAGTCTCAAACTCAACAACTATATAAAACAAACTTGCAACTCAGCATATACAACTCTCGAGACCCGACAAAACATAAGTCACAAGCTCTGAGTAAAAATATTGGATAATCCTATACATCAATGTCTATATATGAAAAAATAATAAATAAAGAGATCTAGAGAGAGGAGGACTCCGAGGCCTGCAAACACCGACATGTATACCTTGAAGTCTCCGTAGCAGAACCCTATCTAATGCCTGGACTGATAGAAAGTACCTAGATCTGCACAAAAAGATGTGCAGAAGAGTAGCATGAGTACACCACAACGGTACCCAGTAAGAGCCAAGCCTAACCTCGGTAGAGTAGTAACGAGGTCAGGTCAGGGCCCTACTAGAATAAATAAAAAGACTAAACAAGTGTAAGACAGTGTAATAAGGACAATAATGAAATTGAAACAACAAATAACATATCAAGATTAGCTACACGGAACAAAGCAATTAGTGCAACACGTAGAAAATAATTAATAGTATGCTAAGGAAATAACAACTAAAGACAAGTGCAACAATGGAGAAATGCCATAAGAGTCACTACCGAGGTACCACCTCGTAGTCTCAAATCACAAGAATAAGTCACAATCTTTCCATATATCACCGTGGAAGCCTTTACATTAGTTTTGAAAACCATTTTTCCGAAATAGCATCCCGCGTTTTAGCCCACCTTATCACACCGCATGACTTCTAGTAGTTCCCCTACTAGCCACGCATGTCAAGCCCACCTTATATCACCGTATGCGTTTCAACCCCAAAACCTTATACCACTACATGCGTATCAATATCACAATGTATCACCAATCACACCTCAAGTGCCCAATATCACAACTTGCAAGAGAAACCAAACAATAATAGTATTTTCACTATAAAGAGCCCATGGCTCAACCACAATGTACACAAGAGTCTAAACAATAACAACCAGAATGAACAACTCAACATAATGGTATTTCACAACTTAACACTCTGCCTCAATGTGAATCACGACCTTGATATCTCAATACCAATTTCAACAACAAGATATTCCACGATTTAATAACTTCAAGTAAAGAGTTCAACAATTAAATAATGAACGCAGAATAAAGGAAATAAGAACTTCAATTAAACATGCATGGATATTAGCATGTAAGAGAGTAAGACAAGTAGATATGTGAAAATAGACTAGAAATGGTGACTGTAAAATGTTAAGGTAACTCAATTATGGCATGAAAGGAATCTACATAGCCAAAATCGGAAATTTTCGTATTTAGATCGTGTACACACTCATCACCTTGCGTACACGGCTTTAACATATCACAATTATCACAACCGATACAAATCCTAAGGGGTAATTCCCCAACACAAGGTTAGGAAAATCAGTTACTTTAACTCACGCTAACTCAATCAACTAATAGGCCTTTCTCTCGATTATGCAACTCCGAACGACTTAAATCCCAAAGTTTTTCTTGAAAAACTCTCGAAAAATTACCTTCAACCGAGCTCTCTAAGTCCAAAAATGGATTATGAATCAAACATTTTCTTATTTCTTCCCAGCGACTTCTGCTTCTACGACCTTTTTGTCGCTTCTACGATGCCGCACCTGCGGAAAAACCATCGAAGGTGCGGATTCCACTTAAGCGCAGGGGATTCCGCATCTGCGGATAAAATCTCACACCTGCGAGTGCACTCCTATGGAAAACTCTCCGCTTCTGCGATGACCGACCAAACTTGCCCCCATCCGCAACTGCAACCACTTCTCCGCACCTGCGGACTCGCAAATGCAGAAACCACTTCGCACCTGCGATCCCAACTGGGCAAAGCCAGCTTCACTTCTGCGGTCCACTGCCCGCTTTTGTCAGTCCGCACATATAGCTAATCCCTCTGCAGGTGCGATGACACTAGAAGCTGGAAACTTTAGCAATCTAAGTCCAAATTTCGATCCGGTTCAATTTATTTCACACCCGGGGCCCCCGGACCCCGTCCGAATATACCAACAAGTCCCAAAACATATAATGAACTTACTCGAGGCCAAAAATCACTTCAAATAACATTGATTCTATGAGGTGCAACCTAAATTCAAGCCTATGAACTATGAACTTCCGAATTCTGAAACCAATGCCGATTCATACCAAAACAACTCTGATTGACTTCAAATTTTGCACACAAGACCTATTCCACTACAAAAAAACAGCGTTTAGCAATGGAATTTAGTGACAAGAGATACTTCGTAGCTACATAACAACGAATTAGCGACGCATTTTGTAGTTTGTCGCCAAATAAGCTACAAAAAGAATTTGTATAAAATATAGCGACAGAAATAGCGACAAAAACTTATATTTGTCGCTAAAATTGGCGCTAAATGTTAGCGCCTTTATTTTACCTACAAAATTAGTGATGGAAGTGGAGCAACAAAATTATTAAAACCTAGCGGCAGATTTACCGTCAAAAAATCTATCGCTGCAGTCATTTTACTTATCAAGACATTCTAAAGTTGATTGCGACAAAATTTTCCGTCGCTAGTTTCCTTAAAATAAAATTTCATTTGATATTATTCGCGATAGAAATTAGGTCCGTCACTATTTCCGTTGCTAAAAATCTAGTTCCATTTTAAAATAAAATTTCATTAGTTATTATTAGCGACAGAAATTCGATCCGTCGCCAATTCCGTCGCTAAAATTTTGTCCTAAAAATAAAATTAGGACAATACGCCCACTCCCCTTTATTAGACTCCCACTCTCAATACAATTAGGGCAACACGCCCACTTTCTCTCCTCTCTATCAGACAGACTCCCACTCTCAATACTCTTCAATAATGTGAATTTTTTGCTGCAGAACTTTGAAATTCGAAGTCGTGTGTTGCTGCTCCGCAAGATTCTCAGGTGAAAGGGTAAGCTTCTTTGTGATTTCATTCCTGACATTATCGGTTAGTCGAAGGTCTTTGCGTAAAAAGAGGTGTCGTCTTGCCTACTAAAAGATATTCTGGTCATTTCATCTTCTTTGTTTCTCTGTGTGGTGTTCTTCTTCATCTTCTATCAAGTGACTGAGTAGGTAATGAATTTATTTTCACTGTAATCTATGAGATTGTTCTGAATTATTTAAGCTCTTCCTTGCATTGATACCAATTTTGCTACTCCTTTTTATTTATCCTTTAATCGAATGTATCTGTACTGCACCTTCTCCTTCAAAGTTGGTTTTTATGGATCTCGGTGGTGTTTTTTTTGGGGCATCCCAGGATTATCATATTGAAGTATTTGCTTAAATGTCTTCTTCGTACTTGGTTGGTAATTGTTGCGCTCCCCATGCATCGGTAGTTGAAGGTTTTGTTTTTCAATTTTCTCAATTTTAGTTCCAAGTTGTATGTAGTGTGCGCTTTATTTTGTTCAATTTTGGTAATTGTTTCTCCATTCTTGCTTTCATTCAATGTAATTTGTTATTGCTACTGTAGTTTTGGTGTTGGTGGGTATCGGCTACAAGCTATGTTCTTTTGGAAAGTGTGCTATTGGATTTTTACATACATGTCAGCAACTTTATCCAATTTGCTCGATGTTGTACGGATGGTGTTTGATAATATGCTTGTATGAACTGCCTTTGCACTGCATGGAAGAAGCTATTTGTAATCTTTTCCTATTTCTAATAGTCATGTGAATGGTGATTTAGTGAAGCATCTCCAAATTATATTTTCAGTTCTGCTTTGATTAAGCATTTTTTTGTGGTACCAAGAGCAGAACTTTTTCCGTTTGTCTTCACGCTTATTTCAGAAGAAGTTGTTTTCTTCTCAAATCTATGGGTATCTCCCAAGATTAGTTCTTTACGAGGTTTTAAGTTGTTTTATTGAAGTAAATTTCAAAAGGAACTCTTAATTTGAGGTGTTTTCTTTATTTGGCTCTAATGTATTTTTCTTCTGAATGTTGTTATCATTTCTATGATCTTTTGTTGATGGTATCCGTTTATTTTCTTTATCTTGTTGATCTACATGAAATTGTTAGCTATGTTAAGTTTCCTAGTTAACATCGTTGATTAAGCATTTTTATGAACTTCTTAATTTTTCAAAGAAGTTTGACCATATCATGTATGCTTTTCTTTGCATGTAGATCAGTTTGACCTTGAACATATCAGCAGATTTACAATCATTGTAGATCAGTTTGGCCATATGAATGTCTGGATCTCTGGGTGTGTATTCATCTTATGTTTCACTAATCTAATCTCTAGGACATAATATATGTACATTTGTCATCCCTGGTCTAATATCATTGAAGTTTGCTAGAGTGTAGAGGAGAGGTGGTCATATGGATGTTGATGCCACAACTAACACTCTGAATTTTAGGACGTGGAAATTGGAAACAGAATGTAATACATATATTTACCAGGCTATTGGTTACCTATAGCAATATCAGATAGTAAATTCTATACCTTCTTGTACAACTTGATGAACTTTGGCCAATAGTTAATTACTGAAATAAAACAATTTTATGCATTATATAACTTTACAACAGAAATCTCACGATTTTTCCATTGCCAACAGAGAAAGCAGACTAATTTAGCCAACAACGCATATAGATCACATAGAATGTTATAGCAGACTAATTTAGCCAACAACACATATTGATCACATAGAATGTTAGTCGTAAATACACATATTGTTCACTTAATTGCATATAGTGGCTTCTCCCGTTAGTTACGCCCCCCTCTTTTTTCCAGTTAATTACGTTATCTAATCATTTTTGACCTATGTAATCCTCAATATGTAGCATTTCATTTGTCTTTAAGGTTCTTATTTTGGTCGACGAAAGGAACTGAGCATTCCAAGATTTGTTTTCATTCCAAGATTGGGGCGTTAGTAATTCTCAGCTTATTCTGATGTCAACTTGTTATTCATTTTAGAAAGCATTCTGATGTCTTATTAAATAAAGAACTCTAAGGTCTTGTTTATTTTAATATTAAATAGGAACATAGACAATCTAGATCGTGATTGGATGTACAAAAGGTTGGATAGTCGAGGGGGTATTAATTCAAGTTTCATAATTGGTGTGAACAAGTTTCTCCAGTTTGCTTGTTCTCAGCGCAATTGCATGAGTGATGACAATGTTAAATGTCCATGTAAAAAATGTCACAACATTAAATACATGGATGTTGAAACTGTTAAATTGCACCTTTATCAGTATGGATTTGTTGAGAACTATTTTCTTTGAAAGCATTAAGGAGAAAAAAATTTGACCGGTGAGATGTCTTCTAGTGGTGATTTGCATGGTGGCACTCAACCTGAATCGGAATATGAGAATCCATATCAAAAAATGGTCTTAGATGCAGCTGGACCCAATTTTGGCCATGGTTTGAGCTGGCAGTCTTATAATAATATTGAACTTGAGTCGTCTCATTCTTACGAACCTTCAATGGAGGAGGAGCCTAATCCTTCAATGGAGGAGGAGCCAAATCTTGAGTGCCAAAGGTTTTATGATTTGCTACAGGCCGCTGATGCAAATTTATACCCTGGTTCTTCCCTCGCTCAACTCGCAGTAGTTTCCAGGATGCTAAATATTAAAATGGAGAATACTTTATCACAAAGATGTTATAACCAAATGATGCAATTGTTGAAAGAGGCTTTAACAGAAGATAACACAATGCTTGATAACTATTATGAGACCAAGAAGCTAGTGCGTAGCTTGGGTTTGCTAGTTAAAAAGATTGATTGTTGTAATTATGGATGTATGTTGTATTGGGGTGAAGATGAGGATCTCACATCTTGCAAGTTTTGTGGCCACCAGAGGTAGAAACGTCGTGTCAGTTCTCATAAGAGGAAATTAATCCCTTACAAAAAATGTATTATTTTCTTTTGATTCCTAGATTGCGGAGATCATATGCATCTCATGCTACAGCCACTGATATGAGATGGCATCATGAGCACATACAAGAGGAGGGCGTAATGTGTCATTCATCAGACTCTAAGGCTTGGAAGCACTTTAGTGAAATTCATCCATTCTTTGCTGCTGAACCAAGAAATGTGAGGTTGAGATTTTATGTACTGATGGTTTTCAGCCCTTTGGTCATTCAGGGAGGAAATACTCTTCATGGCCAGTGATTGTCACTCCATACAATTTGCCTCTAGGGATGTGTATGAAAGCGGCGTACATGTTCTTAACCGTCATTGTTCCAAGGCCAAACAACCCTAAACAAAAAGTTGATGTTTATCTACAACCTTTAATAAAGGAATTGACCTTGTTGTGGGAGACGGGTGTAGAAGCATTTGACATCTCAAAAAAACAAAACATTTTAATTAAAGGCCTCTTTGATGTGGACAATCAATGACTTTCCAGTATATTCTATGTTATCTGGATGGAGTACTGTCGGTGACTTAGCATGTCCTTATTGTATGAAGGAAGCACAATCCTTTAGATTACGCCATGGTGGGAAAACGACTTGGTTTGACAGTCATAGAATGTTTCTTGACTAAAATCATCTATTTAGGAGAGATCATAAAAACTTTCGTAAAGTTCAGACTGTCAGAAGGCTACCACCCCCCTTAGAACAGGAGAGGAAATCTTGAACCCAATTTATGAGTTAGGACTGAGGAAAGTAACTGACCTAGATGCAGCAGAAGTTAATGGGAGAATTTCTAGGTGTTGTGGATGGAAAAAGAGAAGCATCTTTTGGGATTTGCCTTATTGGAGCTCTAACATGATCCGATATAATATCGATATCATGCATATTGAGAAAAATGTCTTTGATAATGTATTTAACATAGTTCTTAATGTTGATGGCAAAACAAAAGACAATCCAAAGGCACGTGAAGATATGGTAAACTATTGTGATCGACCGCAATTGGCAAAGAATCCTATTGATGGAAGCTATCCAAAGCTGCATATACAATAGAGAAGAATCAAAAAATTACCTTGTTCAATTGGTTGGAGAATGTGAAGTTTCCAGATGGGTATGTTTCGAAATTGAGTCGGTGCCTAGACACAGACAAGTATAAATTATTTGGTATGAAAAGTCATGATTGCCATGTGTTCATGCAACGATTAATACCTATTGCCTTTCGTGAGCTACTTCCTAGTAACGTGTGGCAAGCACTTATGGAATTGAGCTTATTTTTTAAGGATCTTACCTCGACTGTTCTTCAAGTGGTGGACATGGAGAGATTAGAGATAGACATCCACAGATCTTGTGTAAGTTAGAGCGTATATTTCCTCCTGTATTCTTTAACTCAATGAAGCATGTGCCTGTACACCTGCCATATGAAGCAAGGATTGCTGGACCTATACAATATAGATGGATGTATCATTTTGAGAGGTTATTGAACTTTTTATGCTCTTATTATGACAAGTATGATATACATGACTTTATGAATTTAATGGTCTATCCATTTACTTGTATAGGTACCTTCGAACTCTTAAAAAAATGATAGGGAATAAAGCTAGTGTTGAGGGTTCAGTTTGTGAAGCATACTTGATGATGAAATCAACACAATTATTTTCTCATTATTTTGAACCTCATGTCATGACACGTAATCATAATGTGGCCCTTAATGATGATGGTGGTGTTATGGAAGATCTTGAGGGAAATTTATCAATATTCACCCATCCAGGCCGACTATGGGGAGAAGGAAAAAAAAGAAGTTTGTCCCTTGAAGAAATCAAGGCAGCCCAATCTTATATTCCACTAAATTGTGTAGAGGTTGAGCCGTTTGTAAGGTATCATTTTTTAATAATAATAAATATATTCATATATTTTGAGTCTGTATTTAACTTATTTTGTTGCAATGAAGTATGTACATACAACAGTTGCAAGAAGAATTCCCCAATCTATCTCAGGATCAAATAAATGAGAGTCTCGAAGTATGTACATACAACAGTTGCAAGAAGAGCTCTCCAGCCTCGCATAGTTAGCCTACTTTATTTGGACTTTATTGTTGGTCATTGTAGATTTTTTGTACTTAACGATATTGTTATGTGCATTATGCTATATATTTTGGACCTTGTTGAATATATTGTTAATTTATATTACTGTTAGTGACTTTTTATTAAGTATATTTAATAGCTTTATGTAATATGCTTGAATAGAGTACATTTAAAATAATAAATAAAAAGAATTTTAAAAAATCAGCAATATTTTAAAAATAAATTAGCGACGGATTCTTTCCGTAGCTAAAATTATCGCGTAAAATTAAAACTTGCGACGAATTGGCGACAAAAGGGTTTTGTTGCAAAAAGCAGGGAGAATTAGCTATAACACGTCTAGCGACGGACGATTTCATCGCTATAAGAACAAATGACGAATTTTGTTATGTATTGCAGCGACGAAAGGCGTCAAAATAATGACAGAAACAAGCAATATAGCGACGGTTATTTCCCTTGCAAAACTTTGCTACAAATATATTCCGTCGCTAATCCGTCACTAATTCTGCGATGGTTTTGTATTTTTCGTCACTATGAGCCTAGCTACGAGTATTTTAGGAACAAACTTGAATCCGTCGCTGAACAACTGTAGCGACGGATAACATTGATTTAGCGACGGAAAGCGGCCGTCGCTAAACGCTATTTTTTTTTGTAGTGTTCTAACTTTTGAAATCGGGATCCGACCCCGATATCAATAAAGTTAATTCCCGATCAAATTTTTCAAATCTTCCAAACCTTTATTTTTCTAACTTTTTCCAATTTACACCGAAACGACCTACGAACCTCTAAATCCACGTACAGACACGCTCCTAATTTTAAAATCACCATACAGAGCTATTGAAACCATCAAAACTCCATTCCGGAGTCATCTACATAAAAGTGAAACTACGATCAGCTCTTACAATTTAAACCTCCAATTAAGGGACTATGTGTCACATTCCACTCTGAAACTCACCCGAAACCAAAACCAAAACCAAGCACCCGGCAAGTCACATAACCATAATATGACATAGAGATGACAAATAAATAGGGGATCGGGGCTAAAATACTCAAAACAATCGGCGGGGTCGTTACATCCTCCCCCTCTTAAAACAAACATTCGTCCTCGAACGAGTATAGAGTGTACCTATAGTGGTGAAAAGATGAGGATAACGGCTACACATATCATGCTCGGTCTCCCACGTCGCCTCCTTGACTGGTTGACCCCTCCACTGAACCTTCACTGAAGCAATGTTCTTCGACCTCAACTTTCGAACCTTCCTGTCCAAAATGGCCACCGACTCCTCAACATAAGACAAATCCTTGTCCAACTAGACTGAGTTAAAATCTAACACATGAGACAGATCGCCGTGATACTTCCAGAGCATAGAAACATGGAATACTGGATGAATTGTAGCTAGACTAGGTGGTAGTACAAGCATGTAAGCCACCTCTCCAATCCTCTCAAGAATCTCAAATGGTCCGATGTGCATGGGGCTCAACTTGCCCTTCTTTCCAAACCTCATAACACCCTTCATGGGTGAAACTCGGAGCAAGAACCACTCCCCAAACCATGAATGCAACGTCATGAACCTTCCGATACGCATAACTATTAT